CATCGCTTAGCTAATTTAATATAAAAGTCTGGAGTCCCGGGTGCAAATTCAGGCCGCAATCCCATACAAATCTTTATTGCAAGTTCATCATAAGATTCATAACCGTCAAATGGTCGTTGTCCGGTTGTCATTTCTGACATAATAGCTCCAAATCCGTATATGTCGGCAGCTTGTGTGAGACCTTTTCCACTTAAAACTTCTGGAGCAACATAGGGCACGACCCCAAAAACTTTATCTTTTGAAAAATCATCTTTATTTCTGGATAATCCAAGATCCGCTATATATGATTTTATTATCCCATCGAGATTTTGGTTTAGCAAAATGTTGCCACTGTGAAAATCACCATGTGTGAATCCTGCCTGATGAATTAGATATAAATCATGTGAAATATATGTAAGTTGCTCCAATTTCTTTTCCCATATAAATTCACTAAAATTTTGCATTAAAAATTCATGAAGATTTCCTCTGTTGGCATATTGAAATACCATCAAATATTCATCTTCTTTATTTTGAGTTAATCCATATATTTCAAGTTCACTCCCTTCCATTCTACATTTCATGTGGTTTTCAAACTTTAAGGTAATTCAAAAATAAATAAATTTTATAGAATTATGTAAATATATAATCAAATTGAAAAATAATTTTCTTACCTCTTTTAAAAAATCAGATGCATTCACTTTAGAACCAGGTAGAACTTTAAGTGCAACGGGATAAGTTGGTCTACGCGATCGTTTATAGCTATTGTCAATCATCTCGACTACTCGCTTACCATCTGACCAAATTGCTAAATATACCGTCCCGAATCCCCCTTCGCCAATCTTATGAATATTGGTTAGTCTATTAATTGGAATCCATTCAATCATTTTCTCATATGTTGTAGCCTTAAATAGAAATTTTTTAACGCAATTATCAATTTCATCGACATGACTTAGTTGCTCTTGGATTAACGTAGGAGGATCACACAATTGACACCAAACTGGGCTAGTGTTATATCTTTCACATTGTACGCACTTTCCATTACTAGAATCCCTTTTATTATTATAATAATCGAATACAATCATATATTGATAGGTTTCAACATTTTGAGTTATTCCATATAATCTATATTCATTTGATTGCATATAAATTTTGAACTTACATGATAAAGTGTTAGTAAAATTGCAGAAACTAGTAACACAAAGATAACAAGTTACTTACTGTTGTTATAAAATCTGAAGTGCTCATTTCCAATTTCATGAGGTTAACGCATGCTGCAATACGTGACTGCTTATAATTTTCAGATTCTCCTTTAATTTTTCGTAAGCCATCTGTCCAGGTTGCTACAAGTAGATCCGGATTTAATTCATCTTGAATCTCTTGAAGTTTAGTCAATTTGTCGAATGAAATCCATTCAATCACGTTCTCATATTCCGTAGATTTCATTTGAGATTCTTTTATGAAATTATCAATTTCTTGATTCCCGCTTGTCCATTCTTGAGCTGTTCTCCAAGGATCGCACGATTGGCACCAGGCCGGAGAAGTGTTATATCGTTTACAATGTCCACATATTCCATTACTTGACTCTCTTATATTATTATAAAGATCAAGTACAATCATGTATTGTCCAGATTCTGTATCTTGGGTTATTCCATGAATTTTAAGTTTCTTTGACTCCATGTGACCGTTTATCTTATAGAAATTAGATGTTATCTAATTAGATTTATCCATTAAACTTCGTGCACAACATCAAATCCTCAATTTTGTTTAAAACAAAATAATTAAAAAATATAATTAATTTTTAAAAAAATTTCTATAACATTTTTCGTAAAAGAATATATATATAGAAAGTTTTTAAAAAAGTATCTTAAAAATTTTAGCACTATTATAAAAAAATTAATCTTAATTCGCAATCCGCCAGGGAACCAGTGAAAAACACAGTAAACTGTGGGAATTTACTATTGATTTTTGCCTTTTCTGGAACCAGAAGTTTCCCAAAGCGTAAATCGATTTTTTACTAAGCAGCCATTTTTTCAAATTCTAACAAACGTTGTTGAAACGATAAAATCAGCCTGAGATATGTGCATTTTGAAAAGTGGATTGCTTAGTAAAAAATCGATTTATCCTTTGGGAAACTCTAGATTCCCAAAAAGGCAAATTTACAGGTAATCATACTGTATCCCCAAAGTTTACTATGTTTTTTCACTGGTTCCCGGCGGATCACGAATTAATTATTAAAATTTATCCAATCAGATTTTTATAAGTAATTATAAATATTTTAACCATTTTTAGGTCGTTTAAAGCGTTGTGCAAACATGGATCAGCCCGACCAAGAAAAAAGTGAAAAAATAAATATAAAAAACCAAAGTCTAAGCCAATATTGGTGCACTAATAAAAAAATGTGGAAATGTGATTTTACTGCAAGATATTCCCTAACACTAACCCAAGCTAACCCTTACTTAAATTTAAGTAAATAATCAAAAACATATGATGCACAAAGCTTTAAACGTCCCCATTTATATAAGTAAGCTTCAAAATTTTCAGCACCCATGTGTCTTGCACTATAACTTAAAGTAATTTTAACTTACATTTTTTATAAGATCCGCAGGAGAACATTGCAATTTCATGAGATCAACACATGACTTAAGGCGTGATTGTTTGTAATTTCCAGAATTACCTTGGATTGTTTGTATTCCATCATCCCAGGTTGCCATAAATATTTGATTTGGTATAATTTCTTGAAAATTAGTCAATTTATCGAATGGAATCCATTCAAACACCTTATCGTATTCTGTAGTTTCGAATAGTAATTTTTTGATGAATTTATCAATTAAATTGTTTCCACATGTCCATTTTTGAGTTTCTTTCCACACTATCCAAGGATCACAGGATTGACACCAAGCGGGGGAAGTGTTGTCATGTTTACAGTTACTACATTTTCCATTAAAGCTTTTTCTATTAGAACTAAATTCATCCGGTATTACTACCATATATTGATTTGTTTCCGTATTTCGAGTAATTCCATACACAATATTTCTTCTTCTTATATAATCTGTAAACTTATAAAAATTTACACTTATTAATATAAATTGCTATTTAATTTCCGAGTTCACAATGAATGCGCCATTAATAATGATGATATCTCAAAAATGAATAAGCCTTTATTTGATGATTTTGCTTTAAATTAATGCTTTAAACATTAGCATTCATTATACCAAAAGTAATCAAAGATGGTTTAGCAATTCTTGAGATATTGATAATAAGACCACCAATCTAAAAAAATTCCTCTACTCGCATTAGCGTTAGGATCTGGAGATATTGTTTTAGTTTGATTTTAGGTTCCACTTGATCTTGAAATTTTTTTGATTGGCGATGCTGATTACTAGTATATTTTGAGAACTGTTGATCCGTTTCAATAATTTTGGTCTTAAATGAAACCTGAAGTTTGTAGCCCGTTTAAATCCAAAATGATTGATAATAGATCAACCATTCTCGAATTAAATATGTATAGTATTTTTCTAGAAATTATTGTCGCACACCTAAAACAGTGATATAGCTTACTTTTGCTATGAAATCCTCATTCGTTTGAGAACCGCACAATATTTTGAGATTGACTCCAGATAAAGGAATACGTGACTGTTCATACTGTTGATCTTCATCAATTATTCTTATACCATCTTGCCACGTTGCCATAAATACTATTTCTGATTCCTCTTCCCTAACTGGATGCAAATCAACCAGACTATTAAATGGAATCCATTCAATCACTTTATCGTATTTTGTAGCTTTAAGCTGAAATTTTTTAATGCAATTATCGATATCTTCATCTCCACTTGTCCACCGTGTAGTTTCTATTTTAGGATCACATTTTTTACACCAGGTCGGAGAGGTGTATTTTCGATTGCATCTTTTGCATCTTCCATAATTACTGCGGTTTCATAGAAATCATATATTTGTTATGAAATATAATTAATAACATGTTAATTCTTTTTACTAATTATGGATTTATAAACTAATATCAGTGAAATTTTACTTACTTGTGTGACAAATTGGTTTGACATTTATATACTTTAGACGCTATACAAGTAATAATCAAAAAACCTGTTGCAGTTGAAGTAAAGTATGGTATGGGATCGGGTATTACACTAAGATTAAGGTATAATACCTAATAAAAATAATATTATTAGCCGCTTATATATATTAAAATTAATCACCATTTGTAAACATACGGAAATAATGAATTGAGGTATATCTGCCAGAAGCACGCTGATGTTAATTCTCAAATTCACAAGTGAACGATCATAATCGGAAATTCCCAGATACGACATTAATAAGTCTAATTCATCGAAATCGAGCATTAAATAATAAAACTCTATAATGAAGTTTATTATCATGGGAACAATTAAAAATGCTACACTAGTTTTTTTATGATAAAAATAGAAAATTAATAAATGATATTACAATTATTTTTATGATAAAAGTATCAATTTAATAAATGTTAAGACTATTAACATTTATTTAAATGACGCTTACCTCGGTGCGAAAAAATTTGGGATGGTTTTTGAATTAAGATTAACAAATGCTGCGAAGGAGCAGAAACGAAATATGGTAATCCCAAGTTGTAAAATAATGAAAGCTCTTTCCTATATTTTTACATATATTAGGCATGGAGAAAAGGTGATATCAACCGATTTGTGTAAATTTTGTAAAAAATCGTGATTTAATTATTTTAATGGAAGTTTATCGATTTTTGTACTGATTTTCGAGTAATTTAGATAGGAATTGAGCAATCACATCTAAATTACTCAAAAACTAATATAAAAACTAGTAAACTTTTTATTAAATATAGTCATGAGTAAATAACTTATTAAATTATTTGGTGATTTTACCCTTGCTAATAAGCATATTACCATCAACATAGCTATGTATAAAAAGGCTGGAATGAACCTTGCATTATTTAATTCAAAGAACTCTAACACTGATACTATCAAAAGAAACAATTATTGTAAATGAATCAGATTAAATTAATTATAAATATAGAGATTCTTACTAGTTTGTTGAAATCCGTTATTATAGTCTAAATAAATTGTAGTAGTTCCCGTTGATATACATGTATGTTCTCCATTTATTATTAATTGGTTTAAATTTTTCGCTAATTGTGTGTTAAGCATTTTTTCGCCATTTTTTGCCCGATTAATGGAAAGTGAAATAAGAATATTCGATTTGCTATTATCGTTAAATTGATAATGCCCATTTGAGCTCAATCTACCATTCTCCGTAGGAACCATAACTGTAAGTTCATTTATCAACGTACTAATAAAGTTAGATTTTTCTGAATTGTTCAATTCTTGAAAATGCTGAGTCCCATCTTTATTCAATCGTAGCGATCCCCAGATATCACCTAATTATAAGTTTAGAATTAATATAATGCGGAAATTAACTTATAGATAAACTTAGATTATAATACCAGAATCAATTGACCCTTGACTAATATCGGTATTAGCTATTTAAATAATTAATATTAATAAATTAAATCCCCTATAAATAAATAGTTAAATAATTTCGTCATTATGAACCTGTTTGAAAAGTCCATACATATTGGTCGATACCCAAAATAGCCTCATTATACATCGAGTTTTGTACAAAATTATAATCCATTTGTATGAAATATTTCCCATTTGGTTCATCAAAAGTAGAATAATACACATTAAGTGTGACGACATTGCCTAAAGCAGTACATTGAGTACAAGTTTTTGAATCAACAAATTGTCGAAGGATATTGCCTTGACTAGATGGTTGGTAAATATACAGTTTGCCATTTGCAAACGAAACTGGATCTTGAAATGTGATGTTAATCGTGTTGTTGTAATTTACTGTTAGATTATTACTCCCATTTTGAGGGTATGTTGCATTCACATATAACGGCAAATTACTATCTATAACGACAAGATATAAGATACAAGCATGATTATTATTATTTAAATTAAAGGCATAATATATATTTAGTGTGGCAGCTGATGCTAAGATTGAAATTAAATTTGTCCTATTTTATAAAATTTTTTGGGAGCCTTCTCTGTAGAATTATTTTAGAGTTATAGTTGTTTAGAATAGAGTACAGCAAGGAATACTGGATTATATAATTGGTTTAGATAGGGACCCAAATTTCAATATCAACTAATTTCCATAAGCTGCCACATTTATTATTGGAACGATATTTACCATTGCGGAAGGAAAGTGATGGCAGTTGAATTGAAAGAAGATTCCAAGTGGTAGATGATTCATTTTGCGCCACCAGCATCGTATTATTGTGCAGTATATCAAATACTCCCAGTGAATTTGAAATAATAGGATTCGGTGGAAATTCATAATTAAATAGTTGATTCTTTTCATTATAAAGACTAAAATTAAATTCTATAATAGATTCAAATGGTCGTCGCGATATTATCACATATCCTCCAAGAGGCAGATTTCTGATATTCGATGAATATTCGTAGGGAATAATTTGATTCTCTGCCAGTAAAGCTCCATCGGAGAGAAAGCGTATTTTCTCAGTTGTGGCCATAGTAGTATTTGTTGAGGTTGTCATATTTACCATAGTTGCATAACATGAATGACCGACATAAACATAGTCGATAGAGCAAAATATGCTAATTAATGTTATATTTGGCGCAAATTGATATAAAAGAAATTTTGCGGCTGTTGTTTTATTATAATTCAATTTAACAGCATATAATCCTGAATCTTGACTGCCAGTTTCAGCATACACAATATAATATCCGTTATCTAAAGATTGAAGTACCGTAACTTGAAAGTTGGTAATATTTGTACTATCTGTAAGGAACGTATCATTTTGTAACAAATTGAAACTTCCATTACTTATGAAAAAAAAAGTTGCATTATTATAGAGTAAATGTATATTATTAATGAACGTAATAATGTAACATACTATCCATATTGTCTCCATTCAAAATTATTTGTTCCACGCACCGCGGATAAACGAAAAAATCCTTTTCGAGGATCAATGTTATTAACAAAATATTCATTTGGTGTCCAAATAGAGCTGTTCGGGAATAAATAAGAAGGTCCAAACTCGATTGTACTGCCATATTGATATATAAATCAATAGTTGCTACATAAAGTTTTTAAATATTAATTAAACTTTTACAGTGCCAAACCTTATAACATTCCCACTCCAATCTATAACCATTCCACTATCCATAAATGTGGTATTATCGGAGACATTGGTTGCATAAGTGTATGTCACTAGAATGTATTTATCAAATAATGGATATATACTTATAGGAGTTTTAACGCCAAGATTGCTATTAACATAACAATAATTAATTTCTTGTATTTTGTCAGTATTATTATAATTTATTTCAGTGACACTTCCGTTGGTTTGAAGAATACGAAGTAATAACATCTGTTCTAAGCATGTATTAGCACCATCATAATAGTTAATTCGACCAATGCGAATAACCGCTGTATCAGTACCGTCTGCATAATGCTTAATATCCAAGACGTGAGGTGGAGACTCAGTAACATTAGGCCGGCTAAATGTTTCAGTATAGGTGAAATTTGAATAGCTTATAATAGTTTGCGCAAATCCTGTTTGTAGAATGATTAATAGGAAGATTGCAATAGCCATAATTGCCGAATTATATTCATTCCGATCGGAAGGATAAAAGAAAGCCATCACCGTTAAGACAAAAGTAAACTTTCTGAGTATGTCAGGTCCCTTATTACTTAACTGCGTGTTCGAACTTCTTTATCATATGTGGATATGTAGTGTAATATTGTGTAATAAAATTTGCCATTTGTGTTTATGTAGTGTAAAACAGGTCCCTTATTACTTAACTGCGTGTTCGAACTTCTTTATCATATGTGGATATGTAGTGTAATATTGTGTAATAAAATTTGCCATTTGTGTTTATGTAGTGTAAAACAGGTCCCTTATTACTTAACTGCGTGTTCGAACTTCTTTATCATATGTGGATATGTAGTGTAATATTGTGTAATAAA